AGCCACGCCCCACTCTTACTCCTTTCCCTCGGACGCCGGCCATTTTCCACTTTGTTTATACTAAAGAGTGCTTTTTCACACTTCTTCAGCAAGTGCAGTTTTATCCGCAAAAAACAGCTAAGTCTCTGGCACACTTGAGTGATTAATTGTCTTCTCCCCCTCCCCGTCTCTTTAAATCACAGTTCGGTTTGTTTACGTCTGGGATTCCTCCCGACGCCGCTGAGGGTGTGGGGGGGATCGGAACTCACTTTTAAAGCTTCTTCGCTCGTCTCATTCTCCAGTTCCTTGACAGTCTGATCACAGACTCCTTTTAATTAGGCTTCATTCGCTGACCCGCTTGCTTGTCCCGATCGGCATTCAGCTATGCTCGGTAAAAACCGAGCCTCTCAGGGGGTGGACCGAATGGGGCAAAGAGGAGCGCCTCAATTCTCCGGCTTAAAGCCGTTGAAGAGGTCGCCCTTCCAGCGCCCCCGGCTTGGAGCCCCTCACTGAGGCTCACCTGGGGGTGCCACTTGAGGTGACATCCCTCCAACACCCCTGGAGCGCGGAATGCTTCCCCCGTTCAGGAGAGAGCCTCCGCCATCGCTGAAGCCACAGACCGGAAGTCCTCAGTGACTCTTGTCTTCTAATAATGTGACCAAAGTATAATAGCCTCAGTTGTCATTTTAGCTCCTAGAGAGAATTCAGACTTGATTTGATTTACAACCGACTTATTTGTCTCTTTAGTGGTCCATGGTATCTGTAAAACTCTCCACCAACACCACATTTCAAAGGAATCTATTTTCTTCTTATCAGCTTTCTACATTGTCCAACTTTCACACCTATGCATAGTAATGGGGAATAATGCGGCATGAATTAACTTGAGCTTGGTCACCAGCATGACATCCTTACACTTAAGGATCTTTTCTAGTTCTTTCATGGTTGCACTTCCTAGTCTCAGTCTTCTGATTTCTTGGGTGCAGTCTCCCTTTTGATTGATTGATGATGGAGCCAAGGAATGGAAAATCTAACAATTTTGATTTCTTCATTGTCAATCTTACAGTTGTGTAATTTCTCAGTAGTCATTACTTTTGTCTTCTTGGTGTTCAGCTGTAATCCATCTTTGGCACTTTCTGCTTCAAACTTCAGCAGTAGTTACTTCAAGTCTTCACTATTTTCTGCCAGTAATGTGGTGTCATCTGCATATCTCACATTATTAATGTTCCTTCCACCAATTTTCAATTCACCTTCTTCTAAATCTAACCCAACTTTCCTTATGATATGTTCTGCAAATAGACTGAAGAGATAGGGAGATAAAATACATCCGTATCTAATGCCTTTGCCAGTTGGAAACCGTTGTTCCTTCATATTCTGTCCTAACAGTATCCTCTTGCCCCAAGTACAGGCTGTGCATCAAAGCAATCAGATGCTGTGGCACACCCATTTCTTTTAAAACCAACCACAGCTTTTCATGATCCACACTTCTAGCTCTCTAACTCAGCTGCATGGTCCAGAAATGTCTGCCTGCTCTCATCCTCAGACAAGCAGTCTGTTCAGCTCAGCATCCCAAGGAAAAAAGAGACCACTTTCCCCTTGCAAGGCAGTTTTAACAAACCTGTGTCTCCTCCCCCTTGACCCCAGTCAGCCCAGGTCAAGGCTTCTTTTTCCTGTTGTCTCCAGGAAGCTCCTCCTGTAACTTGTCCAGCAAAAAGTTCTCCAAGCCTCTATGTTCCACACTCATACAAGGTCTTCTATGAATGGAGCAGAAAGTTTCACAAAGGGGGTAGGAAGCAACTTCTTTCCAACTGCAGCCCCTCAAAAAGGACAGGTGTCAATTAGGGTGTTAAAGGAGAGGGAGTTGCAGCATCTCTTGTTATAAAGCATATTTTCAGCAGTCAAAGTATTATCTCTTATTTTATCAAGGAAATTTAAGAAAAGAAGTTGATAATTCATTCAGCAAACCTATGTATGAGATTTTGCAGTCTTCCTTGAGCAAGTGACTACTGTTCATTTAAAAAGTAAATCTGTCGTCATGGATCACTAGAAACTGAAATGCTGTTTTTAGATTAGCCATTAAAACAAAGTTTAGTTTGAGACTCTAGAAGGCTAGATGTGTAGCCCTCAGAATATTTTCTTAATTAAAATTTTGTTCCAATCAAAAACACAAAAAACCAACACTAGAAGGGGCACCAATACCCATTACTGAGGGTATGCCAGACAAAACAAAAAAGTCTTCATCTGCTGGCAAAAGACACTAATAGAGGGAGACCTATTCATTGCCTTGGGAAGGGAGTTCCTAAGTTTTGGTGCCATGCTAGAGAAAGAAGGCCCTTTCTCTGGTCACCACCCATCTAGCCTCAGATGGCAGAGGGCAGCTGAAGCAGGGCCTCAGAGGATGATTGGAGTGAACTCATAGGTTCATATGAGAGAAGGTGGTCCTTAAGGTATGTTGGTGACAGGCCATACAGGGCTTTAAAGGTCAATGCCAGCACCTTTAATTGAACCTGGAAGCAAATTCTGTAGCATCCAACATTTTGATCTATGTATCTACCACAGCACAACTGTGGCAAAAGGGGGAAAAAAGACCTGACAATTGATGTCAGAGCTCTTTCTAGGCATGAGAATGTAACCCTGTAAAACAGTGACTGTCAAACTTTCTATTTGCTATGGCAGTGGTTCCAACCTGTTGGTTATGGAACCCCTATAGGGCTAACATAATTAGATTGCTGCTTTTTGCAAGGATTTGCTACTAGTGCACATGCATAGACAGCCTCTCTTTGAAAACAAGCTGAATGGAGCACCAAGATAGATAGTTAAGATCATCCAGTGGTGGAATGGATTCCTCTTTATTTCTAACCCTTGTTTGTTCCTTTCCGCAATAACTCTCCTGGTGCTTAGCTTGATTCTTTCTCCAACTTTCTTGGTCTGCTGCCCACTGACCTTGCTTTGAACCAATGGGATCATAACTGGCTCCCCTTCTTCCTGTCAGATATTTGTGATGGCATGTGTTTTGAAGCTTAATGGCTCCCATGCTGCCACTTAGGGGGTTAAAGGTGGATCCTGGATCTGGAAAGGTCAAAATATAGCTGTCCTATGGTACCCCCCTGTATCTAGTGTGAACAGGTTAAGCCTCACTTATAAACCCAAACAAATACAGTCCACCCTTGTAGTATCCTGTGAGGAGTGGTGGATGGGGTAACCTTACCTATCAGATCACCTTTCAGTCCTGCACAATAGCCTGCATACAAGAGACTCTGGTAGCTTCAATAGCATATCTTTTTATTGCTTCCAACTGGGAGGGAAAACTTACAGACGGAAAATACTAAGACTTACTTGAAGACTGCAGTCAACCCACAGAACAGGACCTAAGTGAGGCTCCTCCCTTACAGGCCTTGAGGGGGGAAACAGAAACTAGTTCTTCAGGGCTCACTTAGAGGTACATACACACACATATACATGACAACCCTGGAACTTACCCAATGTTTCCTAGTGGTACACCTTGGAAGGGAAGAAAAATAAGGCTAGGCAAATTGTCGTTTATGAAGTTTGTATTCCAGTATTGATTTTTGTGAGGAACCCCTGACAAGCTGCCCAGAAACTCCAGGGGCTTCAAAACACAATTTAAAAACCATTATTGTAATATAACCTTTCCACATATATAAAGAAATAGCACTACTATGACTTCCATAATAAAATTCCCCATTGTGTTTTTAAAAAACTTTTGACTTTGCAGTTCAAGATACCTGTCCCAGTGACTGCCAGTCTAAACTAGCACTTCCAATGTATACGTGCTGTTTATCCACAATCCAGAATGATGACTGAAGATGGCCTTTGTTATAAGCAGTCATGTTTATATACATCACCTCCGCACCTAGGGAAGAAGAAGAAAGCCATTAAAGACAATTTAAACCATTCTTTATACAGTAAAATACAACAACTAGGGATTTCAGAGACTGTTACAACGCAATCTTATAAACACTTTTCTGGGAGTAAGCCCCACTGATTAGATGTGAGTGAGATTCTGAATAGATCTATACTCTTGGAGATGTCATGGGTCCTGCTCATGGCAAGCAGTACTGCAAATTTCTCTGCTGCCTATTACAGGGTGGGGGGGGGGAGGACCATTCTTGCTCAGAAGCCACAGGATCCTCCATGGGAAACTAAAGATAAAGGTAATCCGCTGATAATATCGATTGCCATATGTCATGATCTGTGCAGAACTGGGAGCAGGGCCTAGTGCAGCCTGGTCCCAGGAGAGACCTGCATGGCAGTGAGCAGACAGCCTACGGTCCCCATAAGGCTTAGCAACGGGCTATAGCCAATCAGAGAGGGAGGTTCTGTGAGGAGACCGTTGAACTGTGTGAGGAGAGTCGGTCTTAGCCATTAACTGAGGCAACACAGAGTGTTCTTTCGGGTTTCTCTCTGCGGCCTGCTCTCACTGTGGGGACAGGCTGGTCTGGGAGAGAGGAAGATCTCCACTGGGCTCAGCGTGAGTGCTAGGCAGGCTGTTATACCCTTTTTAAGCACCTTGCCTTGTCTTGTTTTTCCCTGCCCCAGTGTTGTTTTTAATAAACCCTTACCGGCAGGGGACTCCCGTTTGGATCCCGGCGCGTGCACCGCATGCACATCACAGGGAAGAAAACATAGAGTTTTCCCTTGTATGGCTGTGGCCCTGCCCCCAGCGTGCCCGGCGTCATGACGTCACTTCCCTGTGATGTGCACGCTGGGGCGGGGTTCCCCCCGGGGCCCGATTCCCCGGTGTCAGGGAACGGGCCTCTGGGGCGGGGGGATTTCTGCCCCCCGGGGGGACTTGGCAGCCCTACCTTTTTGTGTAATTATTTTCTCTGCCTGGGTCAATCACGCCTGTGTGCTCTCAGCTGAAAAGGGGCATGTTGGATGGGCCTGGGAGGGTACTCTGGGCCTTCTCAGGGGACCTGAAGTCCAGAGTGGTGGCAGCAGAAGGTAGAGACTCCTGGGGTCATGACACCATATGTGGTGGCTATGGGGCGAGAAACAGGCATGGAGAAGGCTCTCAAGCAACTGCCTTCTGGGCTGAATAATGTCCAACCTCCACTCTGGCTTCTCCTTTAGATTCTTTAAACCCCAGCCACCCACAATCAAACAAAGAGGGGGGGGAACACAAAATCCAATTAAAGGATTGGTAGCATGTCAGCTACTGCGCTCCCTCTTATTTGGAAACGTGCTAGACCGAGTCTGTACTTATTTATGTAAACAGAAATAATTTTTCCCTAGATATTTGACAAGACACAGATAAAGATTTAATAGAAAATAAAGTATTCAATAGGGTACATGACTTGCATGAATAACTTCAATATAAAAATAAAACCGGTTCTCAACTTCACCCCACAAAGGTTACAGACTTTCTGCTGCGAGAGTAACTACTTTATATCTGAGCCTCAAGTCAAATTTTTTTTAAAAAAAAATGATTCCCCTTTCTCCAGACAGGAGACCTCAGCATTTCAAGGGTACTCTTTTTTTTAACCACAGAGAGCTCCTTTCCATGTATGTAGGGATGGGCATGAACTGGGAAAATGGTGGTTCATGGTTCGTTTGATTACATAAACCAAAAACTTTCACAAACTTTTCCCATTTCCCAAACTGGTTTGTGGTTCATTTGGTTTGGGAGTTTGGGAGCTGGTAGAACAGTCCCCTCGCAAATTAGAAATGCCAAACTCACAGGAAGTCTTCATCAGGCACTCCTCCACCCATCCTCCAAATTTGGTGAAGATTGGATTTGGGATGTCTGAGTTATAGCTCCCCAAAGCAGGTGCCCCCAGGAAAGCTCAGCTCTAGCCTCTCCTTAAATCAGTGCCAGGCTGTTTGGAGAATGACCCACTCTAATGAACCAAATGAACCTCCATGGAAAAAAGGTGGTTTGTTTTTTATTCGAGAATGATACAACCAAATGAACCAGTTCAAAATGAACCACGAACCAGCCTGGTTCATGCTCAAACTGTGGTTCGTTTCTCAAATTGTGCTCGTCCCTACCAGTATGTGTAAGTTAGGAATGACGGGCCCTTGACAGGATTCTTATTTATCACACTAAAGTAGTTGTAAATATTTACCATGTGTGGCCAAAGGCCATTAAAAAGTTGGTCTAAATAAAACACAGATAAAACATAAGAAGAATAAAAACAATAATCAAGATAAGATGCCACACAAAACAGATTACAAAACTATAGATTTTAAGTTTCAGACACCACTTTTGCACATATTTTCTTGCAGTCAGCATACAGAGCTGCCATGTATGTAACATATGAGTCTATGGTCACAAGAAGGATGTAAAAACCATATGTCACACTAAAACAAGCTTTCTTCCCTAAGCTGACCCCAAACTTTAATTAAAAGCCTAATAGAAACCTGGCTAATAGAAGTGTAATTCCATTCCATATTGGAAGTAAGTATATTTGGGTACAGTAAAATATTTTTTAAATATCAGATGGAATTTTCAAATATTAATCTAAAACATTTTTTATCTTTCTGTACAGCATTCCAGTTTTGGTCCTATTTTATTTATTGTTAATTGCCTTACATGCAGGGCTATTTTTGGGCAGGAACGCACAGGAACGGAGTTCCGGCTGGCTTCCAAGTTGGTTGGCCACACCCAGCAGGAACTCATTAGCATAATAGGCCACACCCAACAGCAGAAACTCATTAGGATTGGCTACATTAGGGGTGTGTGGACTAAGATGCAAAGGAGTTCCTGCTACAAAAAAGCCCTGGGTTTTGGCAACAAACAAGGTAAACGGAATAAGAAGCAAAAGGTGGGTGTGGCTGGATGACCAGACTTCTGGTAACATGGGGGTGTGGCCTAATGGGCCAATGAGCTGTGCTGTCAGGGGTGTGGCCTAATATGCTAATACATTTCAACTGTTGGGTGTGGCCTATTATGCTAATGAGTCCCTGCTTACGTGTGTTACAGGGACTCTGTTGCTTGTATTTTGCACTATTTGATCTCTGAAGAAGGCTCTCGTGAGCCGAAACACGTCAGGTCATACACTGTCCTTTTTGTGTGTATTTGTAACTTTGAACATTTTATGAGGCTTTATTTGGACCCCTACTAGGTTTTTATATGTCTTAGAAATCAAGGGTGTAGACTTTCCAATTTCCCGGGGTGGGGGGGCTGGGGCTGGGCCAGAGGCATTGCTGTGCTAGGAGCAAGGGTGGCTCCCGGGGAAGGCTGAGCACTTTCCTGAAAATTTCGGTGGGGGCTGAAGCCCCGCCGTCCCCACGAAGATTACGCCTATGTTTGAAATAAACACTCTTTTGTACACTTACTTATGTTTTTACCTTTTGGCCCTTAATAAGTTTTCTAAACTTCCTTTGGAGGTTTCTAGATCAAATCAAGCCTGAACTCTCCCTAGAAGCTAAAATGACCAAACTGAGGCTATCGTACTTGGGTCACATTATGAGAAGACAGGAGTCACTGGAAAAGACAATAATGCTAGGACAGGTTGAAGGCAGCAGGAAAAGAGGAAGACCCAACATGAGATGAAGTGACTGAATCAAGGAAGCTACAGCCCTCGGTTTGCAGGACCTGACCAAGGCTGTTAACAATAGGATGTTTTGGAGGTCATTAATTAATAAGGTCACTATAAGTCAGATGAGACATGATGGCATTTAACACACACACACACAAGCTGACACTCTTATCCAGAGCCACAAAATACCTATCTGAAGAAAAACAGTTTTTTTACACGCCACTTATGGCAAGGCTGACTCATCCCTCCCGTCCAGTGGAGTTCCATGAGCTCTGATTGGCTGACAATCACTTGGATTTGTATGAATCTAAAATCACAAGGATTGGTTCAGAGACCTGGAGGAGAGGCAGACCTTTTGAGGACAATTGCTATGCCATAATTAAGAGTACCTGTGTTAGCCTTGATCTCTATATTTTCTCAAGAACTTTTCTTAAAATAAGTTTAGCAGTGCTTTAAGCATGTAGTCATCCCTCAATATGTGTGTATTGCCTGCCCACCCCCCTCATCAGCCTCACTCTCCTCCAGCTTGCCAATGCTGGCTTCCATGGAAGCAGCTGAGAAGGGCGGGGTCAGTGCCTTGCCAGGCTCCTGATGAGGCATGTCTCCCCACATATCCCAGTCATCCTCAAAATTGCCTCCACTGCTCATCAGACGCTCCTCCTGTCCAGCTTGCTCTTCGTTGACAGGGGTCACCTCCTCCACCCCGCCCCCAAGTAAGGAGGGTGAGGAACACCGCCCCTGAAGGTCTCGGGAGCCGGGTGACCCCGGATAGGTGCTATTTATCATACTGGTTCAAATAGAAGTACAGTGTTCTCTTAATACATCAATACTAGATGGCTAGCTGGAAAATCATACTGCTCACCTCAGAACATGGATAAACTGAGATTTAAGCAATGCACACCAGCAAAAGTACACTATGCAGTAAAAGCCAGCAAAAAGTGATTAAAAATCTGACACAGTGCAGATAGCAGCATCTCCCTATTAACTTAATGGAGATAATGTAATTTATCTCTTTACTGAGCAGAAGAAAGCTTTTGGAATTTTATTTGACAAAAAGAATGTTGTTAGTGTTATACACATGAATTACCAAAAGCCAAACACAGAAGCAAGTGCTTTGTGATTTTTATGGTGCCTTGGAGATCTCACGTCGCACTAACCAACACACATACAAAGCTATATTAGAATCCACAATTCAGGAAGGAACAGGAACAAATGGAAATGTTGAAGACTGGCTGTAAAAAAATTTAAAACTATATGTTTATCAGCATAGGGAGAAGTGGGATGGCTTTATTAACTCTGTTAATAACCCTGTCCTTCCACTGGTTCTTACTGTGCAATTTCTTATTGTGCACCTTCTTATTTTATCAGT